AGTGGGATTTTGATCTGGATGAGCTCATTTACATAATTTCTGCAGAACCATCAGAAATTGCTCTTTGAAAACTAAAGCTGACAAATGATTTGGGTGCATTGGGTTATTTGTTCAAATTTTAGGCAACTTGAGACACTGTTTAAGAACACTGAGCAATGGCTGGATGCTCCTTGGAAGGGTTTGTGCTACAGCACAGGAAAAAAGTGTTGCCATTGTTTTTGTGATTTTTTTTTTCTTCCATAAGAGAGATTATTACCTGAGAATTCCTAAGCTAAGAGGAATTATTATTTTTTCCTTCTTAAAGGTATTAAAATCTAAAATCTAGTTTTATCTCTGGGAGTACTGTATTCATTACATCTATGATTCTACCATTTTTTGGCCAGAGTAAAAGTGCTTAAAAATAGCACTTTTTATGATTTTGAACATAAAACATGACTGTGTGAAAACATTCTGTGTGTTGTGGTGGGGTTTTTTTTGTTCTTTTATTGTTGTGTCCTATCCTTGTCCTGTTGTCTTATGTGTCATGTGTGTTGTTTCCCCCAGTCTTATTCTCAGGGACAGTCTCATGCCAAACCTCAGATTGCCCTTCAGATCCCATGGGTGATGCCAACCAAAGTGATTTGGCAACTAGATGGAAATTCTGGAACACTTTCAGAAATATGTATCTCATAAGCAAACTATTACATCTGTGGAAATTGCCTGTTTCATTCTCAGAGCTCTGAGAAAAGATTTTAATTAGAGCCATTACCAAAACACCAGGGCAGGATGTTGTCTGTCCCCACAGTGGAATTGAGTTCAAGGATGAGACATAGAATCCCAGAAATGTTTGGGTTGGGAGGAACCTTAAAACTCATCTCCTTCCACCCCCTACCATGGGCAGGGACACCTTCCACTAGCCCAGGTTGCTCCAAACCCTGTCCACCCTGACCTTGGACACTCCGAGGGATGGGGCTGCCACAGCTTCTCTGGGCAACCTGTGCCAGTGCCTCACCACCCTCAGAGGGAAAAATTTCTTCCCAAAATCCCATGTAACCCTATCTTCTAGTAGTGGGAAGTCATTCCCTCTTGTCCTGTCCCTCCAGGCCCTTGTCCCAAGTCCCTCTCCAGCTCTCTTGGAGCCCCTTTAGGCACTGGAAGGGGCTCTAAGGTCTCCCTGGAGCCTTCTCTTCTCCAGGTGAACACCCCCAGCTCTCCCAGCCTGCCTCCAGAGCAGAGGAGTGCCAGCCCTTGAAGCATCTCCTCTGGACTTGCTCCAATATACCTTGAGAATGTGACTGTCCTGGATTTTGGGAATGCAAACTAGGACATGCACAATGGCTGCAGATGTTAAAACATGTAGAAATGGAGCCCATTCCTTGACCAACTCTGATGTAAGGACGAGGTGGCTGTCCAGAGTACGCAGAAAAATCTAAGGAATCATCTAGGTTGGAAAAGACCTCTAAAGTCACTGAGTCCAACCATAAAAAAAACCTGAAAGAAGCTACTGGAAATCAATGGGACAAGGAATTAAAAGGAATGTGGCAAAAACTGAAGGGTTCAGTGAAAACCAGCAATTGACACCAACCACTATGTTACGGAGAGGGGTTTCCTTGAGCAGATTATTCCACTGGCATCCTGTGCCTGGATACAGGCAGGAAGGGCACTCTGCCCCAGTGCTCTGCCTGCAGGTGTCTACCAACCCATGGATACCCTGCTTCCATTGCCTGTGACCTCTTTCCATGTGGAATTCTGATTCTGTGATGCAGACCAAAAGCATCAATTCCCTTGGAGATTATTTTAGTCATTCAGTTTCCATCTTTTGTCACTAGAGGGAAGGAACGGGTGCAGGAGAGTTAAATGCACAGAAGGAAACGAAGCAAAAAGCCAAGTGTGAAGTCTGGGAATCAGTCTTGAGTATTTGTGCAAACTGTTGAAGGAATACTTGCAAACAACAACTAAATTTAGCTTTTTGAAATGGTTCTAAACAAAAATATGCAGCTGAATCACAAGGATTTCAAGAAGATTTCTGTCAAATTCTTGTCAAGACAAGAAAATTTGTCTTCTCTCCATGGAAAGTGTGCACTCACTAGTGTGTGCCCAGGTGGCCAAGAAGGGCAATGACATCGTGGCCTGTAGCAGGACCAAGGTAGTGACTGTCCCCCTGTACCGGGCACTGGTGAGGCCACACCTCAAGTCCTGTGTCCAGTTTTGGGCCCCTCACAACGAGAAAGATATTGAGGGGGCTGGAGAATGTCTAGGGAAGGGTCTGGAGCAGCATGAGTGACTGAGGGGAGCTGGGGGTGCTCAACTCATTGTCTCCTTGAGAGCTTACTGGACTTGGCAGGTAGGGGAGATCCAGATGAAAGGATTAAGTCCCTGGAGCAACCTTGACTGCCATAACTGCTATTGACTTTTGACCTGCTTGTTTTTCCATTGATCTGCAAATAGCATGAAAGGCAGGGATATGAATCTAAAAATGAACAAAACAAAATAAAAAGCTTCATCTTAGCTCTTGTTGATTGAGATTTATATGATCTTTTGCAAAATGAATAAAATGGTGCTGGGGACATATCTTGTGTTCTTCTTGTTCAAAGAGGAGCAAATTATTTGATTGTTTGTTAAGGTCAAGGAAAAGCAACATCATGCAACTCATTAAAGGTTATAGAGCTCTCCCTAAAATTAGATCTTGACTATTATATCTCATCCCTCTGTGGATGATCTGAGCACTGAATGTACCAGAACATTCAAAGGGCCTCTGACCCACAACAGCCCTGTGAAGTTTTTCGCATGTGAAAACTGACTTGCATGTGGTTCTGTGTTGCCTTCCTCTTGATGCCAAGACAAGAGACCCTCTCCAGTCTTTTTTAGGGACTGGACATTTACATTTCCAGGTGTTTGGTGTGGGCTGTGCTTTGGTTGCTGACTCAAGGAGCTGGAAAGGCCCTGTGGGAGGTTATTGCACATCTGTGAACATGGGGAGGTGGCAGCATGCGTGTGGGACAGCTCCACCTGCCACTAACAACACCCTGTTAGTTGTTGTGCCTGTACCCAGCCCATTCCCAAGGGCACGGTCCTGCCTCAGAAGCATTCCTAACAATGTGTTGGATACTGCGTGTTCCAGCTGTGCATGCAGGAGGCTCCTGCTGCCATGGTCGCTGGCTGGGCACTATGGGCTGCAGCAGCTGCGTGTGTGTGACACAGGAATTGTGTCACTGTGCAGTTGTGTTTAACATGAAAAAGGCATCACTGTGTTCCGGCGATAATGACGCTGGCAAGGCCTCCCCAGCCACCATGTGAGAGCCAATCCCTCTCTTCCCTTCTCTCTTTCCTTTTCAAGGAAACTCTGTAGTATCGTGTGCCGCAGAAGAAGAGGAAGAATTCCCTTTTGTGTACACTAGAATTTCTTCTGGCAGCTGGGTAGATCTAATGGAATGCAGTAACGAAGGGTAGAGCTTAAAGGAATGGGGATCCGGCTTTACCGACAGAGCACGCAGTGGAAGCATCGTGACTATTAAAGATTTTTTTTTTTACTTGGAGCATTCTACTCCCAAATCCTTCTGATGCAAATTGTGGGTAGGGGAAAATGGTGCACCAGAAAAATCTGTACCCTGGCAGCAGATGAAAGGGAGAGAACCGTGGGGAAATGGCACACGTGGGGTGGCAGAGCTGGTGTGAGGAACAGTCCTGATATTGTGTGGGCCAGATGTGCATGAATTAGTGTGGGAATGCTCAGAACGGCCCGAACTGAGCACTCATGCAATTCCTGTGCCAGAGCAGCGTGGTGCTTACGCAACTTCTCTCGATCAGCAGAGGGGAGTCATTCCTGTAGGGATTAGGCTGATTCCAGCGAGGTGCAGCCTGGGCTCTGGTGCTGAATAAACCTGGAAAGTGGGTGTTTGGTAAACAAATGGAGCAACCACAACTCCCTGCTCAGTGTGTTTGCCAGAGGCTGGGAATGACATATGTACGTGTGTGTGTTGGAGAAGACCACAGGAGGAAAGAAGTTCCTCGTTCCTGGGTGTCTACAGGGAATCACTCTGTAGGGAATTTTTTTGCTCCTTATTAAGGGTTTCCAGTAGAATTCCAGGAAATCCTTGGTGAAGGCCTCTAGATATCCTGGCAGAATTCAGGGAAATAATCTGTCAGTGAATTTTTGCTTGTTAGTGAAGCGTCTCCAGATGCCCTGGTAGAATTTTGAGAAATAATAAGTCAGTGGTTTTTAGCTCCTCAGTGAAGATCTCTAAATGTATGTCCTGGTAGAATTTTAGGAAATCATCCGATGGTGATTTTTTTTTTCTCCTTGGTGAAGGTTTTCAGCTTTCCTGGTAGAATTTTGGGAAATAATCTGTCAGGAGATTTTGTCCCTTGGAGATGATCTTTAAATGTCCTGGTAGAATTTTAGGATATAATCTGTGAGTGGATTTTTGCTTTTGGCTGAAGATCTCTAGATATCCTGGTAGGTAGAATTCTGGGAACTAGTTTGTCAGTGGTTTTGTGCTATCTGGAGAAGGTCTCTATATGAAATAATTTTTCTAGATAGAATTATAGGAAATTTGGGAAGTATCAGTGACCTACCCTTTTTCCAGAAAGGTCTGGATTGTTTGTTTGGAAATTCCAGCAGGTCCCGGGGGACTCTCACGGCGGAGCCGCGGGTGCCGTTTCCAGCACTGCCGTCTCAGCACAGGCTGTGACTCGCTGTCTTTTGGCAAAGTGGCCAATTTTTCTGAAATGTTCTGTGTGGAGAGGGCCGGAGGAGCGGGCCGGGTGGGATGTGGCACAGCAGTAGGCTGGGAAAGCGGGGGTGGGGGGGTCCGTGGTGCCCGTGGGAAGAGGCGGGGAGCGGGGGCCCACGAGCCGGGATGCCGAGGAGGGCGGAGCGGGAAGCCCAGGATAAGGGGGCCGAGCATCCCTCCGCCGCCGGGCCGGTTGCCAAGGCGACGGCTGCGTGGCAACGGGCTGGCAGCGGGGACCGCCCGCCGCCGCCGCGGAGCCGCCGCGCAGAGCGGGCGCGCTGCCCTCCTCGCTGGATGCTGCGGCGGCCGCCCGGGAGCAGCCGCGCTCCGCTCCCGGTCCCCCACCGCCGGTGCCGACCAGGGGCCGAGCTCGCCGGGAGCAGCAGCCCTCGGTCTCTGCTGCCGGGACCAGCGCGGCGCGGAGATGGTGCCGCTGGTGCGGAGCGCCGGGGGCTCCCACCAGTGGCTGGCGATCGCTTTCCTCGGCCTTTCCTGGTTCCTTGCTTCCGGGAGACTCGCTGCGCCGGGCGGAGACTTCCCCGGGGCTGCCGTGGACAATCTGGTGGTCAGGAAAGGGGACACGGCGGTGCTTAGGTAGGAGGCGATCGCGGGCGGGAGGGATGCGGGGACGGAGCATCCCCGCCGCCGCCGCCGCGTCCCTGAGATGCCCAAGGCTCCGGCGGGAGCCTCCGACCCCTCTCGGGGACGATGCGGCGGCGCGGATTTCCCCCAGGGATGCTGATGTGGTGCCCCGGTGTTGCGGGAAGTTATCCCCGCCACCACCGGGTACCCACATCCCCACAGCTCCGGGCTGCTCGCTCGGTCCTGGGGTGGTTTCGTTCCGCCACTTCTCCTTTTTTAACTCTGTTTAGGAAGCGCAGTCTGTTGCTAGAAGTTTGGAAACGGGTTGTTGAGGTGAAATGATGCGGGTTTGGCTTCTGGCGGCAGTTTAGAGGCTCTGCAGAGTGAGCAGCTCTGGACTGTGGCAGGGAGAGTACGATTATACCCTGCTAGAAGCATTAGCATTGGTATTATTATTTATTTTGAGATATGTTTCTGTATTTCTCAACAAGAAATGCCATGCTTTATGCCATGAGGAGGTTGTGTTTCTGCTTCTCCTAATGGACCTTATGCTCCCGTATCTCCTTGTTAGTTGACTGGAGCAAAATTTGTTTACCAGCAGTCGGACACCATAGTTAATCTACTCGAGTCTGTCGTATTGGTTTGTGCTCATTAATCCTCTGCTTGACTTGATCATTCCCCCAACCCTCCAGACTCTAACTTTTTATTCATGCGTTATACTTTTGCTGTGATCTTTCTGTAGTTCCAAAACCCCACATTTTCTCCTTCTCTGGAGTATGGTTGCAGTGGGTTGAATCTCCTCCCTGGTGATAAATCTCTGATTTAATTAGCAGCACTTCTCAGCTATGAAGTCTGGCTGTATTATTTTTGTTGGGCTGTCACTGAAATCTCCAGGTTACAACATATTTTATCCATAAGCATTTTCAATGATCCTACAGTCTGCTGTAAAATGCTGCATGAGGCATTTTCAGTAGAGATTTGGAAGCGTTTTCAGGCTGCTCCTGGTGTAGTAGCTCCTGAAAATACAGTAGATGTCTATGTAGGGCAGCTGACAAGTGGTTTTTATGTGTACCTCAATTATACTCTCTATTTTGAGACGTGCTCAGGTCCTTGTGCTTTCTGTCAGCGCAATTGGAGGATCAAAGGAAATAACAATTTTTAAAAGTGGTTTATTTATACTGCTTCAGGCTCACAGGTTGCAGAGAAGGTAACTTGGTGGGTTCACAAGCAGTTAAGACAGATACTCAGCCAGTCCTAAATGCTAGTAGGACATAAATGTGTTTAAAACTACAGCATCAAATACAGGTGTGATTGCTCCCAATGTTACCTACTGGTGGGGTTCTGCTGAAACACGTCCAGCTTTCCAGGCCTAAGGTTGTGTTTGGAACACGGTTTGGTGCAGCTGGATAGGTTACATAAATGAAATGGAAGCTTTAGGCTGCAAACATCACTTTGGTCTCACTAGGGAGGGTGAGTGTGTGTTTTGTACAGAGATGCTGCCACAGGAAACGTTCACCTCGCTGCTGAGCTCTGGCACACAGGGATGAGGTGCTGGAGTTTTGAGTGTTACATCTGGATTTCGTTCTTTATGCCCTGTGATTAACTTCTCTCATTTCCTGTGCCTTCAGCAGGCTTGCTTTAAACCAGGGCTTATTTTGTTTTAGGCTAGTGTTGTAACTTGGAAGGCGATTGGATGCAGGATCACTGTGCGAGCAAACACTTTGAGAAGAATGTGCAGCAGCCAGGCAGAGCCCGTTATCCCGAGTCTCCCACTGCCCAGTGTCTCAGCTCCTCTGGGAATGTTCCTCACTGGATATGTGTATTGTAAACGTATTTCACTACACAGTAAAATAATTGCTATTGATATCCTAAGTATTGGAAACTGGCTCTTTACTTAAATACAAATTCCAGCAAGCTGGATAAAGCCATTTGGGTGCTGGAAAAGGAGTTTGTTCCTGCCAGCTCTGTAGCCATCTGAATTCAGCCCTCCTCAGTGACTGTGCCTCGCAGCGTCCAAAATTGGCTGCACTCTGGAGTTCCCAGCCTCTTGTAGCAAGATGGCCATGGGCTCCCTGTGGCCAGCACGTGTTGATTCCCCCCTCAGCACCACGTTCTCTGCTTAAGCAGTCTTGAGAGGGCTTCAAGCGTTGCCTCCTCCCCTTGGTACCGAGGCAGCACCATGCCGAGAGCATCCTGCTTTAATAATTAAAGCTGGAGTATGGGCGGCACTCCCATGGCTTTGAGTCAGCATTTTCATGGCTGTCAGAAGATGAGGGTGATTTATGGGATGCGTGTTGAGGTGGAGCCAGCCCCCAGCAAGGGACGTTGCGGGTGCCCTTGCTCGGGCGCACACCCTGCGTGGGGCTGAGGACCTTGGACAGCTGGATTACACATCACCCCATGTTCTGAGCTTCCCAGGAGAGTGAATAAATGGGGCTACCCATGTTGAACTGAGGAGAAACTTTTACTCACAAGTCTCATTTTGAGCTGATATATGAGAGAGGGAAGCACGTAGCCTGTTTCAATGAGTATGGGGTGGGTGGGCCAGGTGCCAGACCCAGTTCTCACATGAAGTTTTCACTGTCTTTGCTGAGGCTGAGCAGTAAAGGCTCCTGGAACTGCTGAGGTTTTCCAGCAAAAGCCTTTGTGTCTTAACACTGAGTAAAATAAATAAGTTTGGCTCCCTCATTTTTAAATAGTTAATTCATGTAACAGTGTAATTAGTCAATTTAGCATCAAACACACACAGCATTTATTTAGTGCTGCAGAAGCAGCACTGTGAGTATCACCCCCTGTCCTGGTGCTCTTGGAGCATCCCTCTCTGCCCAGTGCATCACCTCTCCCCGCCTGGTGCTCTGGGAACATCGCTCCTGTCTGCTACTCTTGCTCATCCAGACCCTCCTCACCCTCACAGCACTCCTGGCGTGGGTGCCCTCTCCAGCCCCATTGCCAGGACCATTGTGGGGCTGGGTCCTGCTTTGCTGTGCCCAGGTGGCACTGGGATGCTGGGATTCTCCCATGGCCTCCCTGGCCAGCAGTTCCCAATTCTGGCAGAGACACATTACCCACGTGGCCTTTCATGGAGGACTGACAGAAGAGAAGGTTTGCCAAGAATGTCACTGGACACCTGCTTTGGTACAGAAACACCCTCAGCAAGGGGATTTTACAGAAAAGCCCTTATTAGTCGAGGAGTTCTGTCTGTGATCAGTTATTTCTGTAGCCTCAGTAATTAAATCCAGGTCCCTTTTGTTTGGTTTCAATTCGTGATTGATCCCTGCAGTCCCAACATTGTTTGTGTTTATTTAAGTTATAAGAAATCATGTCAGTAATGCGGTTGTTTTGCACGGCAGAATAATGTTGGGAAGCCGCCCATTTTCAGCAGTATTATTCCATCCTGTGTTCTTCCCAGGCAGCCCCTAAAGATTTCATGAGAACACATGAGGAAGGAGGGAGCAACTTACAAACCTATGATTTTATTAAAAGAATAAATTGCTCCACTGTGGACTGCTAGAAATGCAGGGAACAAGCTGTATATTCAGAGCTGGGTTTCTCCCGTGACCCTTTCCAAGACCTCCCGTAAGGAGTGGGATCGCTGTGTGTTCCAGCATATCCATCTCACTGACAATAGAAGTGGAGATTTCAGGAGGGGAGTGTTTTAGGAGAGGTGACAAATGCAGAGGACTTGACAGGAAGCAGGCACAGGCAGAGTTGGGGGCAGGGCTGGCATTCCAGGGCTGGATGCCCAGGGGGTATGAGACACTTCCACTTGAGAAGGACTTCATCCCCTTCCTGGTGATGTGGGGAGGACAGTGGAGAGCTCATGTCGGGATGGCAGCAAGAGGTATTTTTGCTTCTGTGGGAAATAAAAGAATTCCTCTCTGCCTTCCTGTAGTGATGCTGATCCTGTTTATGGCCAATGTGTGTGTATGGCCCCGTGGCTTTAGATAACCCAGGAAGCGGGGATGTTGTCTTAGCAGTCCCCATGTACCTCATCTGCCATTTGGAGCCCGAGTCCTCTTGGATATCAGAATGTGCAAAATGTGCTGAAGATGATCAAAAGGGCTTTTTCTAGCAAGCAAATGTTTTTTTCCTGCATTTTGTTTTTCTCAAATCTCATGGATAATGAAGGCAACTCTACCTGGTAGCATCTTTATAGTACCTTTACATTCTGTCATCGCAGCAAATTGAGCTTCAGAAGTTGTCATGGTTTTTAAAAAAGCAAAAGATCTTTTTACTGGTATATGATTATAGAGGAATTTAGGGTAACATGGGCTCTGCAGTCTGTAGAGTATTGTGAATTATTCACTTCAAAGAGTTAAACTTTGAGCTGGGATCTGTGGGACTGATGTTCCCAAAGGCTGGCAGGAGGAGCTGGAAAGCATCTGTGTCCAGCTGTGATCACAGAGCAGACGTGTGTTCTTGTCAAACCTGGCTGGGAAATCCAGGGATCACTTCTACGCCAGCCATGTGAGCAGGTCAATGAACTGATCCACATGTTTGCCCACAGTTGTCCCTTTTAGCCATCCCGTGAATGTTGTCAAAGATTTGGGCAGTTGATGGTCACCTGAGGAGGGTGATTATAGAGAATGTCTTTTTTTGGTCACAGCTCAGGAGGTTTGGGGCTTTTTAGTTTGTTTGCTGAATTGGAAATTCTTTGTGTGCAGCCTGGCTGATTCTCACCACACCTTGGAGAGTTTTAGGTCTGTGTTGTGTGCAGTTGCACTCTCCCTTGCTGAGAGGACCTGTGGCAGTCCCCAAACACTCTGGGTAAGCCCCTGGCAAGGCAGGATGGGCTGTGCCTGCAGATGAGCTCTGCCCAGGGATGTGTTTCATTGCGGTTTTTTCACTGGTGTTGAAAGGTTTGGGCATGTTATTAGCAGCTGATCTGAAACTATTTGTCTCTTTTGCTGGCTACTCTTAGAGCTTCTCAACTTGTTCTTTTCCATAAGGTTTTCTGCTGGTGGAAGCAGTTACCATCTAGGGAATGGGAGGAGAAGCTCTCTGTGCTTGTT